CCATTTCTGAAGAAGGGTCCAGACCCGAAACGTCAGCTTTCCTACTCCTCTGATGCTGCTTGGCCTGCTGTGTTCATCCAGCTTTACACCTTGTTATCTCACCCTCTAGTGGCATATCTCTGATTTAATGGCCAGTCACTCTCACTCTTGACTCTCCCTGCCAGTGGAAATAGGTGCATTCCAATCTATTGGATTCCCTAACCAACTTAAACATCACAATGAGTCTAGTCTGTGCAATCTGATTTGATATATTATAGTCACATGTATCTAGGTACAGTGAAAAGTTTAGTTTTGTGTGCAGTACAGGCAGATCATAACATACAAAGATCATAGGGTGACTGGACAGAGCGTGGAATACAAAGTTACTGCTACAAAGAAGGTGCCTCATAACCATTCTTTCTAATCCAGGCTTCATTCTGGAATTTCTGTACTTTACTCCCTTCAAGCTCAATCTAACATTCCTGAGAGTCAATGCTCAGATCCTCTATTTTCTCATTCCTTCCTGGGTTGTGACTGTCACCGGAGAGGCCACCATCTGTTGCCCCTCTCTAAGAGTAGATAAGAATCAGCCCCATTGCTGGGGTCACATATAGGCCAGACTGGATAAAGATGGCAAATCTCCTCCCCTAAATGAAGAACTAGGTGAGGTTTTTGCTGTAATTAATGATGGCTTCACAATCCCATTCCCGGGTCTAACTTTCAAGGAAATTTTGTTTTATATGTTGAGTATATAATCCTAACAGAGATTGCTTTTTGGATTTCTCACATGGCACACCACCTGATGAGACCCTTCAATTGCCCACAAAGGGCATCCCATTGTCAGAGGGGTGGGTGGGTAGACCAACATTCTTCCTGTTTTGGAGTGAGAAAGTGGCAGGAAGGTGATGGGGACCTCACCTGTCACTTTCCTACCCACCCCCTCTGCCACAGGTCAACACGGGGAAGGGCAATAAATTATGGGGCAAATATGCTAACAACTCTCTAACTCCTGAGGCTGATCGGCTGGGTAGCAGGAATCATCGAATCCCTACAGTGCAGAAGGAGGCCATTCAGTCCATCGAGTCTACACAGTTGTGAGGACTGGTTGTGCAGGTGCAGATCACTGGCACAACATGATTTCTGCCACGACTAACATCATTGGTGTATGCCCATCAATCTCCACATGCCACCACAGCCTGTCCTGAGCACTCAGCGACCCTCTTTGTAAGAATCCCTCAATACCACATTCGTGGTGTACACTTTCAGATGTCCAAATTGAAATGGACAGATTAGTATCTCACTCTAAAGTATCAGTGCTGAATCGCAACATACATCAAAGAAGGACTGCTCGGTTAAACCAATGCAAGGATCTGGTTATTATTATCGCTGTCCTGGCCAGGTTTAGTCAGACTGACTACCCAGAGGCCGAGTGAAGCCTGAGATCACCACCTTTGAAAGGAGGCACATAAGCAAACTGGAATAATAAAAATGTGTGCCAGTAAAACACAAATCATTGTGACAGATACTGTAAGACTTCCAATCTTTATCAAACAGTTAACATGCTATGCAGTTCTCACTCAAATTCTGCCTGTTGCTGTGGAAGTAAAAACTGTATTAGATTCAGAACACCAGGTACAAGTCTTGTTGAGAGGTCTTTGTTCTTTATTGGACAAGTTTTGGGATTTACAAGCTGGGTTTGACATTAGTGCAAATACACGTGCAGGAATGCTCTTTCTGCAATCGTTTTTGGACTTTGGATATGAGCATCCCCTAGGCCGGGGTTTAATCCCATCTCCAAATATCCTGGAGAGTTCCTCATGGTCTCCCTTCTTGAACTACGATTGTCCTTGGACAACACTTAGAGTATTACACTTAATTCTGGTTGCCACATTACAGGAAGAATGTGGAGGCTTTGAAAATGGTGCAGAAGAGGTTTACCAGGATGCTGCCTGGATTAGAGGATATGAGTTAAAAGGAGAGGCTAGAAAAAACTTATGTTGCTTGCTCTGGAGCGGCAGTGGTTGAGTGGAGACTTGATAGAAGTCTATAAATTTATGAGATGCATAGATCAGATTGATGGTCAGAATCATTTTCCCAGAGTTGAAATGTCTAATACTAAGGGGTATGCATTTAAGGTGAGAGGGAGAATGTTCCAAGGAAATGTCAGGGGCAAGTTTTTTACACAGAGAGTAGTAGGAATCTGGAATGGACTGCCAGGGTGGAAGTGGAGGCAAATATGATTGGGGCATTTAAGGGATTTTTAGATAAGCACATGAATGTGCAAGAAATGGAGGGATATGGACCAAGGGCAGGCAGAAGGGATTAGTTTAATTTGGCATCATGTCCAGCATAACATCTGGGCTGAAGGGCACATTCCTGTGCTGTACTGTTCTATGCTTTATGCTCTTTGCTCTAATACAGTGATGTTAGGAAAGCTGTTCCAGCCTTTTGTCCAGTGACAGTAAAGGGATATATGTCCAAGTCAGGATAGTGAGTAATTTGGACAGCAACTTGCAGGTGATAGTGTTCCCATTTATCTGTTGCCCTTGTCTTCCTAGATGGAAGTGGTTGTGTGTTTGGGAAATGTATCTGAATGTGCTGCAGTGAGTTGTTGCCATGCGCGTTGTCAAGGGTACACACTGTTGGTACTGAATATCGGTGGGGGAGAAAGTGAATGTTTAGGTGGTGATTGGGGTGTCAATCTTGAAGACTGGATGGTGTTGAGCTTCTTGCTTGATGCTGCAGCTACACTCATCTAAACAGGTGGAATGTATCCTATTGTACTCCTAGCTTGTGCCTTGTAGACAGTGGACATACATAGGGAGGGCATCAGGAGCGAGTCACTCACACTAGA